CTCTCTTGGTAGCTTGAGTTGCTTGATGATCTCTTGGATCCTTGGATTGAGTGATGCTAGAGCTGGTCCGCCCCCCTCTTTATATAGCAGAGGGAGAGGGTTGTTTTCCAACTCCTTTTAGGAGATTAACTTCAAATTAGAAAGTCTTAATCTGTTTTGAGCTAATCCTATCCTATCTCTTATCTAGTGATCTAATCCAATCTTCTTATCCTGATAGGATTACATTCAAGAATTTAAATCTAATAAGAGTTTCTTTCTGGAGGTTACATTCGAAATTGGGGCTCTTGGCTCTTGAATTCGAGTTGGGCTGCTTTAAGAACTTAGGCTGCTACAAGGCACTTCTGCGAATTGGGCTTTAGCTGTGAAATGGGTCTGGCTGCAAACTTGCTCCGACTTCGGGCCCAGTTTTCTATTCGATGCGGACCGAATCTATCAAAATCCAAAACATAAAAGTTATGGGCCTTTCTTTCTTTTTTCTGATGTCTCTCGAATTGTCCAATTTGGAGTCCGGATTTGAGAGTTATGCCCGGATTACTGACTGTTTCCGAAACTGTAAAAAATCATGCGAATTGCCCTGTTTTCTTCCAATTGCCTTTTTTCTTGCCCTGAATCGAATGCTAAATTGACCGAAAAGAATGAATATTAGGGGATAAAAATAGGGTACTTTTTAGTTTCATCACCAAGATTTTAATATCAACCTGGTCAGTGGTTTCCTAGCCAATCTGGTCCTCAACTATCAGGTTAGTATTGTCAAGATTATTGGGTTGTTCTTTTAGGACAAGGGAAAGGTTGATTCTGCGAGTTGCCGTCCTCCATGATCAAGGATGAACCAGAGATTCTAATGTAGGTGGTGTGATAAGGCTAAGTGCGGTGGTCTCCTTGAAGGGTGAAGAAAGGCTAGGAGTTTTGGGTAACAAAGTTAGGCTACGATTTTCTCTTAATAGAATTGTGTGTTTGTTATGGCCTAAGCTCTTTTTTATAAGGTTAGATCTCAAGGCCCTGAAGGGAAAGGGCCAAAAGGGATGACTCCTGTTTGGAAAGGGGATCTTCAGTCCAATATCGATCATCAGGAGAGCACTGTTGGGAGTTTACCATGTGTTACACGTGACCTTTTCAGGACGAAATTTCCCTTTCATCCAAGGATTCTCCTAGTGCACATGTGCTACTTTTTTTCGCGGGTCCCCTTTGTTGATGTGGCATGGGTGACATCGGAGTTAATCTGACATGTTGGTCTAGTTGTTGCATCATCGGCTTGTTGTTCTATCATGAATAATCTTTGGCTTGTTGTAAATGCACGTCAGTTCCTAAGTGTATCGCAGGTCCGCAATGTTCTTGAGCTCATCGTAGGTCCGTGACGAATAATGGACTCGTTGCGGATTCGCATCGGCCTATGTATTGCCATGGATGTTTATGTGGTTCTAATTTAATACCTTCATTGCAATCACAATCGTCACAGTCGTGATGAACAATATTTACTTACAAAATGCTAATGTTGATTTTTGGCAGGTCAATGGATTATTGATCCAATCGTCTGGATCAATGGGTCTTTGAGTAAGTCAACAGGTTTTGTAACAAGGTAGGTTAGAGAATAGAGGTTGACCTGAACCGGAAATGTGACCGGACCACTGGCCAACCGGCTGGATTAATGGATCGGGCGAAAACACTTGACTTGTAAATAATGCTAATGTTGATTCTTTTGCAATTGAATTGAATCTCACCTTGTATAAATTGAACACATACCGAAGTCAACAGTCAAAGTTTCCAGTTTGAAGAAAGAAAAGAACGCTAGAATTACAATGTTATCCCTTCTCAATTACTATAAAACTTGTTAACACGTATAGGGTATTCTCGACATTTGATGAATGGCATTCTTGTAGTTAATAATGAAGTCGGGGGGTAATCAATCAGCCTTCCAACTGTTTTATATAATATGCAGAGGGCAGAGAGAGAGTGAGAGAGAGGGTTCCGGACTGAAGTAGTAGCGGCAGTGGTCTTTGGACTTTGGAGACAGGAGAGGCCTATAATGTGCTCAACGAAGCAGAAGAACCGGAGCTCCGGCGGACAATCTGCCGGAGTCTGCTCGAAATCGTGTGACGATGGAGGGGACTGGAGAGACGAAGCTATCAACGGAGGATCCCTAAAACGCGTGGACCTCCAGACAGGATCGAACGGCTGGGCCTCACCTCCGGGCGATCTCTTTTCTCTCCGCAGCAAGAACTTCTTCACTAAGAGACAAAAATGTCCATCCGGCGACTGGCTACTAAAGCCCGCTGGTGTTGATTGGCTCCGGTCGTTAGCCAAACTCGATAATGTACTCGCCCGGTCCGACAACAGAATCGCCAACGCGCTCAGGAAGTCACAGACACTCGGAAACTCTCTCAAAACGTTCTTATTCGCGGTGAATCTCCAAGTCCCCGGTCGCGAGCACCACAGTGCGGTTTTCTACTTCGCGGCGGACGAACCGATCCCTGTAGGATCGCTGTTCTACAGGTTCATACACGGAGATGACGCGTTTCGGAACCAGCGATTCAAGATCGTTAACCGCATAGTGAAAGGGCCGTGGATCGTGAAAGCTGCCGTGGGAAACTATGCGGCATGCTTGTTAGGGAAGGCTTTAACTTGCAACTACCACAGAGGAGAGAATTATCTGGAAATCGATGTGGATATCGGGAGTTCGACGCTGGCTAGCGCGATTCTACACTTGGCGTTAGGGTACGTGACGGCGGTGACGATCGATATGGGATTTTTAGTGGAGGCGCAGACGGAGGAGGAGTTGCCGGAGAAGTTGCTCGGAGCGGTTAGAATAGCGCAGATGGAGATGTCGTCGGCGACTTTTGTTGAGACGTCGTCGACGGCGGCGGAAGTAACGGCGTCAGTAACGTGCAAGGGAGGGAAGAGTGGGTGTCGTAAGGTCAAGCATCATCAAGGAAACGCTCCGGTTTCTAAATCTGGAGATGAAGAGAAAAGCTAAGAAAACAAAAACCTAAACAAAAGACGGTTAGGGTGTTCTTTGTCTTCTGAAATCTTCGTCTATATCTCTTTATCTTTTTCCTTCTTTTTTTGCCCCTTTTTTTTTCCTGGGGTGTTTTAAAGTTTAAATGTTGTAGATAATAAAAATCTCGATTGATCTCTCGGTTAATCTCGGTTAAATGATTGGATGCAGTGAAGAGATTTTTCTTTGGAGGCCTATTCGTCGTTTCTGCTATCGATAATTGTAATCTTCCTTTATTAATAAAATAAATAATTAATTTGAGTTAGAAGAAGGATGGGTTGATGGGGTCGTTTTTGTTAGTTTGTGGTGTTGGTTTTGAGCGGTGTGAGGGATGGAGCATGGAGTCCGATAGGAGATCACATTACCTGCGAGGCTTTTCCACCGTTGGGATATGGCAGTGAAATTGGAATTTCTTTCTAGCTGAAGATAGAGCGAGAAGATAGAGAGATTTGGTATCTCTTCCTCATCCTCTCACCGACCTGACAGCCACACCCCGGGAACATCTCTCCTCAATATAACTACGGAAAATGTTTCCGATGAGCGACTGCGATTAAGACATGATGGGAGATCGGTGTGAAGAGTAGATCCGGATTTTCTCTCTTTTTACAATTCTTTCTTTTCCTAGGTTTTATATAGTGGATTAACAGCAGATAATGTGGCGCGAGGTACATTATTTAATAATATTTGGAGCAGAGCAATTTTTTAGATTTATTTTAGGGATTCTGGCCGATATAGACAATTTTTTGTCCCTAATATCAATAAAAATCACTCTTAATATAATAATTAGTAATATCAAAAATATTGAAAAAACATCAAACAAAGACATGAGATTAATGCACCGTAAAATATATCTCTTATTTATAGTATAAGGGAACTGTTCACCTCCTTCCTCTTCTCAAGCATTGAATAGTAGTGACAAACCTGTTCTACTTATTATATTAAGTGTGATTTTTATTGAAATTAGGAGTAAAAAGTTGATCTTATCGGCTGAATCCCTCCATTAGGAGACTAAATCAGCCCCCCACAAGATTGTCTCCCACAAAGTTTTACAGCACATTTCCACCATGTGTTGAGAACATTTCCCGATGATAGGCAGTATTGTGGGGGATTGATTTGAACTCCTCCAGACCACGCTTGCCCTATACCTTAGTTTTTCTCTTCAGTTCTTTGTTCTTCTCTCTTTTCCCTGTTCTTTATTCCAAAGGGAATTTACTGAAATTTTTGGAAACTTTTTTATTTCCTTTCCCTTCTACTTTTAAACTATGTCAATTTTGTAAGAGTTTGGAAGTAGTGATGATCATGGGCTTATGGATTGGTTCTAATAAGTTGGTGTGAGCTTGTCTTCTGCAGTTGTAAATGGAAAGAAAGGGGTGTTGCAACGGGGTTCTAGTTATTCTTAGTCCCATTGGCATAACATGAACTCTGGGTTGTTAGTCATTGGATTCTATTTTTGGGGTAGAGAGTTCTTGACTTCTCCTTTGCTCTTTAGTTGTGCTCATCACTGTTGAAATCCTAGTGATCCAAGATCATCCAAAGCTTTTCTGTTGGTGATCTTTAGGAATTCTTCTTTCCTATTTTACATATTTTGCATTATTTTGTTTTTTTTGATGGGGTCAGTCATTGTCTCGTCTGATCTTAGAGAAAGAAGCATAAGGGATGGCACATAGAAGCATGTTGATGCCATTTTTGATGAAGATGTATTATCTAGTGGAGGATGCAAGCAATACGATGTGATCTCCTGGAACAACAATAACATGACCTTCATTGTCTAGAAACCTGTAGATTTCGCTTGAGATTTGCTCCCTAATTACTTGAAACACAACTTCTCGAGTTTCGTTCACCAACTCAACACCTACGTATGTTATCATTCTTTCCTCCCTCCTATCATAATTTTCTTTGTTACAGTCATTTAATTTATCTTTGAAAGGGATGGTAGAATCCATCGTATGGACGCCAAAACTGTTGCAGAATGGGTGGGAGAATTTCAAAAATTTTCTACATACCTTTCAATTGAGAATCGCAATCCCTGATTTTAGAATCAAGATTCAAGGATCCTACTTGAACCAGAACTGAATCAGATCTGAACCAAAAGAGAAGGGAGTGATTATACCTGATCCAGAGAAATAATATCTTCCAAAGTTGGTGTTCACGCCCAAAGAAGACACCAAGATCTGTTCCCGCTGAATATGACACAACAAATGTGGAACAGAACCAGCAGAGTGCATCCTACACACTGAATCCTTCACAAGAATCCTTTGGAAGACAATGAGCACCAAACTGAATCAGCCTTTCAGCAAAGACTGATATCAAGAACTCTTTATTGATCTTTCTCTAACAGAGAAATCGAACTGCAGTAGGAGGTGGTGGCTGCAGAAGGAGAAAGCTAGAGAAGATGATGGCGAACTGATTTTTCTTCTCTAGGGTTTCTGAGATCCTATCTCAAAACTACAGAGAGTTCTGTGAAAATCCCTAGGGTTCGAATTCTTGTAATTCAAAATAGGGTTTCCTCCAACTGTTTAATGATTAAGAAAAAACTCCTAATCATATCAGGAGTTGCCCTTAATCTTATCTGCAGATTAGATAAGCTTTTGGGTTCATCCTAATCTCAGATCCGCCCCCTGTTAATGACTGATCAAATCAGCCCAATTCGAAATGGGCTTTAGGCCCAATAAGAATCAAGTGCTCAAAAGTCTTCCAAACTGCTGCCCAGTTGGGCTTCTTTGTATGGCGTGGGACCCAAGCATTGATCTACACACCAGCCACATGGGTTCGGCCCAGCCTCTGTTACAAAGCCTGGCCGAACTCACTGGAGAGCCCAGTGAACCCCTTGAGCCCATCACATGGACCCTATGGGCCCAACACTTACACTAAGTGGTCCCTAGGCCAAGACATCTTATAAAAACCCAATGACTGTGGGCAGGTGCAAGATTAGCCCATCAGGTATTATCCCAAATGGCCCTACACTTAACCTCTCAGTCCATAATGATCAAGCACTGCCCGACAAAAGAGGACCTCTCCCTCGGCTGCAAGGAACAGTGCTACACTATCTACTCACATGGATCCCGGGAATTAAAACCATTTACAAATATTTTGAAACCATACTTAGGTATATATCATATATGTAAATTTTGCAAAATAAAATTCCAACGATTGAAATCAACTGCCGGCAGTTTGGTTTTCATCAGAGAGAGTGCATCCCCGATCATTACCTTTGTCTGACAAAGGGGCTGATCCCATCACTATGATCACCCACTCAGATGAATTCTCAGATTATCCCAACATACCTAGGTTTTGACCCCCGCTAAGGATCCCACTGATTGGCATATCAAAGACAGCCCAATCCGCACCTAGTGTAGTACCATAATCGGGTCTAGGGGTCAGGTGTAACTTTCTAGTTTTGCCCATCAATCTCCAAGGTCCAGGGCAATACTGGAAATTTGATCCGGTTCAAGGGTTCAAGTAATCCTACACTGCATGTGCCTTGGGTCTCACCCTAGCGGCTGAGACAAGCCACCCCAACAGTTGGCAGCACACAAGTGTCAGCTTTGGCGGGATAAATCTCCCCAGACTTATCCAACGGCTGTGAACATTTAAAACCAACACAAGTCTCATTAAATGTCCAGTTTTAGGGTCTTACACAGAAGTATACCACACAACATGAATCAAACATGTACTTTATTTATTTACATTAAATATCAAAATGTACATCAGAACTGATTGAAGCTAAGGGCATACAAAAACTGTCCAACAATCTTCGATATTGCTTTTGCTTTCTTTTTATGTGAAAGTAAATGAGATGCCTTGTCAAAGTTATTGGTGGTAAGACCTTAAACCAATTACTCTCAAGACAGACCGGAGACACCTATACACACAAAAATRTCCAGYCTCTGCAAGAGTTTCAAGTTTTGCTCAGCACTGTTATGGTCATGTGCTTCTTTCCTTGTTTCATGAACAATCCCGAGAGCAAACCCAAACTCTCATGAGAAACGACACCACTTCTATGTTCACATAGACGGAGTTCCACTATGTGTTCCATTATTTGACACATTTCAGAACTTCATTTAGAGTTTAACTCAACCTCTCATCATAACGGACAACACTGTTTATGTTGTGATGGGAAATTTCTCAATGTCAGTGCTAACAGTCACATTGCTGTAACTTGTTGTTACCCATTAAACCCAATACAGATGGTTTTTCCGTTCAGGTTGGGTTACTATTACAGGTGACTAAGTAAAGGGTTTT